TGTCGGTGTTGCCGCACTCTTCAGGATTGGCGCTCTCTTTGGTGTTGGCTGATTTTCCCCCGGCGCACTTGCACTCTTCTGTGTTGGCGGCGGCTCTGATTTCGGAAGAGCGCCCAACGAACTTGTCCTGCTCGAGGTTCTTCCAGGATTTTCCACCGGCGCACTCGCACTCTTCGGGGCTGGCATACTCTTCGGGGTTGGCGTCGGACCTGATTTCGCAACAGCGCCTAGGGAGTGTACCGATCTTTCGTTGGAGTGAACTGCTGCTTCCTTGAACTCGACTGGTGGCGAAGTCGTTGGCGCCGGCGGCGCAGAACGCTTACCTTTCCGCTTCGGTCTCGGGCGCGGGTCCTCCATCGCCACTAGAGCCGGTGTAAGAAGGTGCAACTTGCTGTCTAAAGATTCCAAAACCGTTGATGTATATTTTGCCGAACATATTTGCAACCCCTATATGGCTACACACAGCATCTCTGCCACCCCTTTGCAACCCCTTTTCACAAAGTTACAACAATATAGGGTGTATGTATATTCAATTATTCTGGTGAACATAACTGGTTGTCCACAAGAGCCACAAGTCTAGCGGTTTCTATCCGGTCAGCGGAACAACCGCTCAAACCTAAATTAGCGGACAACCGCTCAAGCAAATCAAACACCAAACATGACAACCAATCAGCAGAAACAGCTTACAACAACAAACTTTTGGAACGCACACTTTTCAACTAACATGTTACATGTAACGCGTAGAAATTTAAGTTTTTTCTTGGCAAAACATACAAAAACAAGTTGTTTTAATGATTTTTCTAAGTAGAACTAAGTAGAACTAAGTAAGAAGAAGTTACTTAGCCTACTCAGTAAAATCCAACAGCAACATCTTTAACCGCTACTTAAATCTACTTAGGAAGTAGCCTAAGTTAGTTATAAGTTACTTTAAGTTCCTGTAAGCAATCATTTTTCATGATGCTACTTAGCCTACTTATACCAACTTAAAACCCTACTTAGCCAACTTATAGCCACACTATAACTAGGTTATAAGTAGGCTAAGTAGAAACCGTCCTTAAGGTAGCTTTGCTTGCCAAGTACACCCCGGTCGAGATGGTGGCGCTGGGCGACTGGCAGTCGAAGAGTGAGCTCCCCCAAGAAGCGTCGATGCCCACGCATTATGCGGGCAGTCGCGACCTGGTTAGTATGAGGCTCAAACACCTGTCGCTGGGGTTGGCATATCGGCTTGGTGAGTTCGACGCCTGGGAACTGGCTACACCTGAGGCCATCACAGCGGCAGTGGATGCCACCAAGCCGGAAGTCCAGCGAGCCGTGAGTCTTGACAAACATAGCCTGTGGGACAGGCCGATGTCAGCAGCAGCCGCGCAGCGGGCCTTTGTGTTCTCTCGTGAACGGGCAGCGCTTACCAAAGAGGCACAGGCCAGCTCCAAGCGATCTTCCTCAGCGATGCCTCCATCTATCAATGGCAAGGTGGTCACTCGGTTCCTGCGGAATGGCACAAGGCTCTGTGCCCAGACTTCCAGGTGGATGCATGCCATGTCGGCGAGGGCGCTTGTGGCGAGGCGCATCTCTGTGCTATCCTCCTCCGGACTGGTCGAGCATGCGGCGGCAAACACCCCGCCCAGGCCTGCTTAGCTAAGAGGCATTTGGTGGCCGAGGACATCGAAGGCACCCCCTTGGCTAGGTGGCAGTCCTGAGTACGGTAGTGCAGGCTGAGCTCCCGGTGGCGACTGAACCTGAGGCTGCGCCACGAGCCTCCTCCTCAAAGCACTTCCAGTGACGATGAGTCTTCAGCGGGCCCGAGATCTCCGAGCGCCTCACCGAGCCCGATCCCAGTCCCCAAGGCAAAGAAGCCTCGAACAGTACCTCCCAAAGAACCAGCGGCCCCGGCTACTCCGGCCCAGCCTGTTGCCCCCAAGGCCATGCCGCCAGCTGTGGCGGCCACGGTTCCCGACCCCAAGGCTCCGGCGGCGGTACCGCCATGGCGAGCAGCAGCAACCGCAGACAGTGCAGCCACTGGCCATATATCTTCGAGATGCCTGAGCCACCGGCCGCGTTCACACCCAATGCGCACGACCAGCGGTGGGACCGCTTGGCCACCGTGCGCGGGAAGAGCGCGCAAGCGCCGACCAAGGTTCTGTCCGTCCAAAGTGGCGGTACGTTGTGGCTCGGTGGATTGCCTACGAACCGGTCAGCATCAGCCTTTCCAGCCGTCACTCTTCAAGTGGCATGTATGCTTGAGGAGCCTTTGCAGCGGGGTGGCGTTTGCTTGCAGGGAGCGACCCTACGCAAGTTTGCCATCGCCCACCCTGATATACGAGCAATGGCGTGACCTGTTTCCGCTTCTGTGCAATACGTTGTGGGGAGGTGAGGATGTGCTCCTCGCTGTATCAGTGGCCGTCATCGCGCGGCGGGAACCGCGTGCATGTTTCGAGCCATCCTTCTTTGTGAGCGCTTTGAAGCTGCTTGGGACTACTTGGCCAGCGTGAGGGATGTCGACATCCAAGGCCTCCTGCGTGACAGGGCGCTGGCCGGCTGGATCCATGAAACCCTTCGCACTACCAGTCTGGGCAATGCCTGGCCCCGGCCAACCGGCTACATCGCTACCGCCCGCAGCCAGCTGCGCATCCAGGGCTACGAGGACACACCCCTTTGCGCCCACCGCCAAGGTGGCCAGAAGAGCAAGGGACGCTTGGTGCAGCCGACCAAGTGCGCCTCGAAGATGGAGGCGATTGCCTGGGGCAGGCCTACGGCCTACATGCCAGGTTTGTGCCAATCGGGCACCGGCTTCCTGGATCCCTTGAGTGAGTCGTGGCACCTGTTTTCATCCTGTCGCACAGCGACACATTAGAGCAGCTAGCCCCCTTTTGGCAGTGGAGTGATCCGTTGCCCGTGGCGAGCTTGACCAAGCGAACAGAGAAAACAGTGCGCATTCTGTCCGACAGGGTGTCGTTGGGGGGGGTGAGGTATACCCAGGTGGGTAGGCATGTGAGGCACAACTACAAGACGATCGCTGCACTCAAGCCAGGCAAACACGATGATGCTTTGCTTGAGCAATCTTTGAATGATGCCGCCCAGGGCTTCTGCTCCACTCCATTGACCCACGCTCAGCTCCTTCGTGAACTGCGAGGGGAGCCATTTCGACTCATTCCACGCTGCGTTATTGTGCAATCCTCAGGCAAGAAGAGAATCATCGACAACGGGGACACCGGCGGTCAATCTGAGCGGTCATCTGACTGGAACAAGCTTGTCTTGTGCTCCCCATTGCGCCCAGCTCAGCACATAGGAGCCGTCGCCTCCCTCCTCACGGATGACCAGTGGCACGCCCTGACGAGCCACGACGCACGGCTCTCCGGCGGAGAGGATTGGCCTATAGTGCCTACCGACATTCCCCGATCAGTCGTGAAGAAAGCCGTGGGTGTATCGTATGCTTCTGGCACACGGAACGCAGCGAACCAGCCTTCCAGGTGTATTCCTCCTTGTTGTTTGGCCTTCCACTCGCGGTGACTTCGTTCAACACATACTCAAGACTCATTGAGGCCCTGGGGCGGAGGTTACTACAGTTTGGTGTCACTTTACTTTGACGATGCCCACATTACTGATCTTCAGTCGAGCTTGGGCTCTAGCCAACAGGCTTTCTGCCAGTTGAACTCCCTTCTAGGAACCCCGTTTGCCGAGGAAAAGAAGCAGTTGATGCACCCGACCGGGACATTTCTTGCCCTCGATCACGATTTCACGCAGCTCGGCACGTTCTGGGCTCGAGACCGACTGATTCAGAAGACCACGGCTATGGTGAATGAAGCTCAAGCGAGCGCCAGCCTGTCCGCAGGCCAAGCGTCCAAGCTCTACGGCATGCTCAATTTTCTCGATCAGGGCATCTACGGCAGGTCAGGATGCGCGGGTCTCGCAGCCATCAAGGCGCGACAAACGGAACGAGTTCGCGACCTCACCCCAGAGCTACAACGCAACTTCGACGTGATCCATTCCATTCTTCGCCATCGACCCTGTCGCGAACTTCCTGTGAGGCCGTCGGCGTGTCTTCGATTCGTTGTCGCTTCTGATGCAGCTTTGGAGGAACCAAAGCAAGGCACTGGAGGCTTTTTGATCGTTTGGCATGACCAGGAGGGACCGGTCAAAGAAGCCTTCATCCCTCGGGAAGTCTATCAGCTGTGGGAGCCTGGAGATAGGCAGATTGCCCAGCTGGAAATGGTGATGATCATTTATGCCCTCACATATCGAGCACACACCTTTCAGGGTAGGCGAGGCGTCTGGCTGATCGACAACGTAGCCAGCCTCATGTGTTTGATTCGGGGCCGTTCCCACTCGCCCGATCTTGAACGTATGTGCGGTCTGATTCACGTCATGTTATACGCCTTACGTACATGGATGTATTGGGAATACATTCCATCCAAGAGTAACTGGGCTGACGCATTTTCAAGACTTGGTTGGTCTGATCCGTGGTGGCGAACCAACGGATTCACCCCTTTTTCCGTCACTTGCCCGTTCTGTCTATGGCACCTACCGCTTCCAGCAGTGATTCGTGTCATGGAATTTCTCTAACTGCGTTGGGTATCTCTGAAGTGCATTGGGAGTGGTTTCCGGAGTGACCGGAAGGATATCACAAAAGGTCTGATTGTGACAGGCCTGCTGATGCAGGTAACCCAACGCAATTAT